ATTTGACAAAGTTTGGAACATCGAACCAGTTAAGTTTGCTATTGTGACTAAAAATGGTGCGAAATTTGAAGACTTAGACATAGAAGGTTTGTTAACAGTCAAAGAAAATTTTGACAGAAAGTTCTCAAACTTGAAGAAGGTAAAGCATACAAACTTGTTATACCTTATGAACCAAAGAAGGCAGACGACTATGAATATTATGAGTCTAAGATAGTGAAGTTCAAGTAAATTGGGTAAAAAGATTTTTAGAGTCTAAGCCAGTGTTTGCCCCTAAAGAGGAAGAGAACATTGACATTGACCCAGAAAATGTTCTAAAATAAAATTTTATTTTTACATGTCATATCTCACCTTCTCTGGAACTGGTTCAGGTTCTTTCTTCTCTTCTACTTTCTTTTCTTTCTTTTCTTTCTTTTCTCTCTTCTTCTTCTTTTCTGGTGGAGTTATGTCAAATTTCTCAGAACCATATTTATGTAAAAGTTCTTTGTCCTTTAATAGCTCTTCTATTCTGTTTTCTATTTCATCTTCAAGAACAGCGCATGTGTCTTCTTTGCATTCTAAGAACTTTTGTTGGACTTCATCTTTCCAAGAGGCGTCATCTCTGTCAACAAGTCTGTCATTGACAAATTTTAAGACTTCTCTGCTTAATGTTTTATGGTTCTTGTCATATTCCCAGAAACAGAACTTTAGAACAAATTCACCTTTCTTGTTTACACTATGTAAGATTTTATGGTCGACAGATGTTTTGCTGTCAAAAAGTTTGTCTCGAATATAGATAGCGAAATCGCTAGACATTTTCAAAAAGATAAAAATTTTAATTTTTCTAAAAATATGTTAGAAAAAAAGTTTGCTGACATTGACAAGAAATTTGAGAATGTTTTAAATAAGAACAAGAGGAAGTTAGAAAATGCTCAGATAAAACCCATACATGACAAGTTCTTATTTGCTCAGAATGGTATAACAGGTCTAATTGCACCACCTGGGTCGGGTAAGACTTTCACTTATCTTAAAATGGCTGCACAACAACAAGACTAGATGAGAAGAACCCATTCTATGAGTTAGTTGTTATTGTAGTACTTCTGGTCAATTTGACCAAACCGTCATTCGTTCAAAAATATTATAAAGAGTCTAAGTTAGTATGTATAAAGGATACTGAGTTGTTAGATTGGATAAAGAAGTACCAAAGAAGAGTTTTGAAGTATAATGCTATAAATGAGTATATAAATTCGAAGTTTAAAGACCCAAATGAGGAAATGCAGAGAATATTAGAGAAGAAACACTTCAGAAAAACAGAAAGAGATAGAATACATTTCGAAGAAATTGCAATCTTACGATTGGAAAACGTACCCTCATAGATGTCTTCTTATCTTAGATGATTTCGCCTCTCATCCTTTGTTAAAGAATAGAGAACAAGATATGTGTCGAATTCTTAAGAAGCTCAGACACTTTAACATCTCAGTCGTAATATGTGTACAGACAGCAAAGAGTTTTAAGTAAGGATTGTAAAGGAATACTTACTGACATTGTACTTTTCCCAGGATTGTCCGAAGACGATTTCATGGAACTTATGAAAGAGTCCATGGCAGGTAAGTTTGACAGACATGAACTATGGGAGAAGTATAAAGTCATACAAGACCCTCATACTTCTTTCAGAATTCATATCTACGCAAACAAAGTTCAAATTGTAAAAAGTCAAGCTTGAAAAATAAAGAGTTCATTTACTCTGCTTGTTTGAAGTTGTCAAAATACTCTGTTATTTTTTCTTTCAGTAGCGGTAAGTCTCTTTGAAGGTAAGTATTGTACAACCTTTCATATCATAGTGTGTTTGAGGTAACGTATCTTGAACTATTTGTTTCACATCTTCATTTGGGGTCATTGAAATCGGTAAGTTTTCACGATAGAACCAATTTCTGTCAGATTTGTAAATCTTAGCAAGGTCGTAAAAGCTTTTGTTGTTTCTTCTGACTAAATGCAACATAACCATATCTCTGTCTTCTTCATTTTCCATCTCTTCAGTATAAATCATATACTTATAGTTCTTTTCCTTTCCTTTTGGTACCGAACGTGGTATTCTTTTCTGTATGTTTTTGTCTTTTGCTTCAATGACTTCATCTTTTGCTTCAAGCTTGTTCTCTAGCTCTTCACGTTCTTGTCTATGAATTTCGTCAAGAAGTCTGTAAATATACCAAGCATAACGAGGCGAAGCCCACATTGCAACAGCATTTACAAGAAGTCTATGTACATAATATCCTCTCAAACCGTTTGGCAATTTTTCACGATTTTCATAGAGTTTTGGCGACTGGGGTTTTTTACCTACTCGCTGTTCTTCACGCTTTTCATAGAGTTTTGGCGACTGCGGTTTTTCTCGTAGTCGCTGTTCTTCACTGTTTTCAGAAAAAAGTATGTCTCGCTGTGCTTCGCTCAAAAGTTCTTGTGTGCTTTGGTTCCTAAACCAGTCTTGTGGTTTCTTAGTATCTGGAGCAAAACATGCTGTCAAAATACTTTGCATTTGGTACATGTCATCTTTGACCGAACGAATGAGACGTAACTGTTTGTTATACTGTATGTACTCGTATTCTTCATTTATAGCTTCATGGACTATAACTGTTGTTGTGTTCTCTGTTGTTGACATATCTGTCTTTACATACAAAATAAAAAAATAAAAAAATAAAAAAAAATAAAATTAGCGTTATTTTCTATCTTGTATAAAAGACCAAAAATAAACGCTTTACATGTATTTTTCAGCAACTTCGTCAAATAATTTTATAGCACTATCTATCTCATCTACTTCAAACGTTTCTTTACCTTTTATGGGAGCACCATACATTTTCTCAAACTTTTCAAGTAGTTCTGTTTCAGCAGCTCTCATATCGTTAACAAACGCAACCTTAACTCTATTGACTGTAGAGTCATATCTTTGAGTTATATTAAATGTTCTTCCTATCTTATATCTCTTTGTATTGAAGTCCTTCGGTTTCTGAACGATATAAAGTAAGCCTTCACTGCAACGTTCAGTATCGAACGAACCATATGTTATGAAATTATATCCAACAACTGGGTCTAACCATAACAAAACTATTGGTATAAGACTTTTGTCAATGAGATATGCTGCAGTTCCATAGAATCTTACCGATATCATAAGCTCAGGATTTCTTGTCAAAATTTTCTGAGTAGAAGCAATTCTAACCCAGTCGTGGGATGTTTTCTTTTCAGATAGTGTTAAAATGTCTGACAAAGAATATTTTTTGTATTTCTTTGAGTATCTTACGTTTAAATCACCAATTCTAACCACTTTGGTGTCATTGTCTATCTTTCTAACTGTTTCAAACTCAATGTTTAACATTTCCTGTTCTTACATACAAAATAAAAAAATTTTTTTTAAAAAAACTAACTTTATTTTTTCTATCTTAAGGAAATTCATGATTTTCATACGGAATCTCTACCCTCGGTTTTCCTCGGGTAGCAAACATATGAGGAAATTCATGAAATTTGGTCATTTTTCAGTAAAAATAATGTTTATGTTAGAATGTTAGATCTAACATGTTTTCTAACACGTTTTCTAACATGGTCTAAAACACACAAAACTCATGAAATTTCATACGGAATTCAGTAAAAATAATGTTTATGTTAGCATGTTAGATCTAACATGTTTTCTAACACGTTTTCTAACATAACTATTTACAAGCGTTTTACATGGTATATGTTGCGATGGTTCATGACTCTAAACAGTTTTGTAGCTTCTATTTCTTCGCTGAGGATATCGAATGTTTTAACTATGCCGAAAGTCTCTTTATATTTCTTCTTGACGTCAGACAGAAGGAAATCTTCTGCTGTTGGATAGTTTTTGTTCAGAAATGCTAACATGTCCATTTTATCTTCTGCTGGCTTTTCTGCTTCTTTCTTTAAATCTGCATAGTCGTTTCTCATTCTTTCTATCTCTTTGACGGAGTAGTTATATTTCCTCATTGCTGCCTTACATTTTGAACATTGCGGGTTCATTTTAGCATTGTACATTGAAACCTTACCTGCTAAAACAACTAAAGCGTCAATGGTTTTCTTTAACTCAAACATAGCGGGTCTTATTTGTTCGTTCCATACCTTACCCCTACTATCTTTATCTCTTATTTCCCAAACACATTTTGCAACTAATGAAACAAAGTTGTCGTAGGTCTTAAACTCCCCAGATTTATATATGTCAGAAACATTCTTATATACCATATCGCAATCTTTGTCCATAACCTTATGGTTGCAATGAAATCCTAGAAACTCATAGTTTACCTTACGTATGAACTTCTTAATTTCTACCGAGTCAGTTGCTTTGACTTCTATTTCGTCAAATTCGGGAATGGTTAGTTTTTGTTGTTGGATTTCAGGCAATTTGGGTAAATGGTCAATAATGTCCTGCATTTCATAAAGATACTGTTCATTTGTTTCATCTTTCGCACTACAGTTTAAATTAGATGTTAAAAGTTCTTGCTTTATCTTCTGGATTTTTGTTTCAAAAGTATATGAAGAAGGAATGAAGCTTTTCATCTCTACCAACATTGACGTAGGATTCATGACTAACGAGTTTGGTGCTGTAGTTGCTAACATGTTCTTACAATAAAAATAAAAAATATTTTTTTTAAAAAACTAACTTTATTTTTTATGTTTTTTGTGAAAGTGTCAAAATTCATGAATTTCGAGAGTTTTCTACGATGTTAGAAAACGTGTTAGAAAACATGTTAGATCTAACATTCTAACATAAACATTATTTTTGGGTCTTTTACGCTCATTACGATGAAGAAGTTTCGACAAAACATTTACGATGAAGAAGTCTCAACAAAACATTTACGATGAAGTTTCGACAAAACATTTACGAAGAAGTCTTGACAAAACATTTACGATGAAATTCATGAAAATTCATGACAAATTCATGAGGGTAGAAAACAGGTTAGAAAACGGGTGCGATCTAACATGCTAACATAAACATTATTTTTACTGAATTTAGCAACAACTTTCTCTCAATTGGAGCTGTGGCATACTCTTTGCGTAAGCGGTTCAGACCTTCTTCGAACTCTTGGTCTCTCTTCGATTTGGATTGAGGTGGAAATTGGTAGTAATTTGGATTGAGATTGGAATTGCTGGAACTGAGGTGCAGGGGTTGGTGCTTTCGGTTCTTCTGGATTGAGATTGGACTCGGTTGGTGGGACGTCGGACATTCGTTGGTGGCTTAACCGTCGGACCACAACGATAAAAATCTCTGCTACTAGCAGTACTGCTACTGACAGTAGCAGTACTTTTTCTGACAGTAGCAGTACTTTTACTGACAGTAGCAGTACTTTTACTGACAGTAGCAGTACTTTTTCTGACAGTAGCAGTACTTTTTCTGACAGTAGCAGTACTTTTTCTGACAGTAGCAGTACTTTTACTGACAGTAGCAGTACTTTATCGTCGAAAACCCTCTCAAATTTTCCTTTTTACTGCTCGTAGCAGTACTTTTACTGCTCCTAGCAGTACTTTTACTGCTCCTAGCAGTACTGCTACTGACAGTAGCAGTACTTTTACTGACAGTAGCAGTACTTTTTCTGACAGTAGCAGTACTTTTTCTGACAGTAGCAATGGACAACATCGAGCCATTAGATGAGGCAATTTACCTAATTTAAATTAACGACTGCGTAAAAGACTACTTGCGCAAGGTCATGAAGCCCAAGGTCAAGTTCACCACTATTTCTGGAAGGGCTGCCTTGACTCTCGAGATTTCGACTGGAATTCCAATTCAAATACCAGACGGGACAGCCTTCGACGACATAAAGGAGATGAAGAAAGAAGCCATTATAAAGTTCTTTGCCAAACGTCCTTGGATACAACTTCCAAACAGAGAGAGTCCAATTCCACGAATTATACAAATTCTCAGAGCACTATTCCACTTCTCGGGTCAGCCGTTCTACATAACCTCAGAAGGCGACATCCAACCAGTTCAGTAAACATCTCATTTTAACTCACTTTTTTTCTATCTTAAGGAAATTCATGAAAATTCAACGGGTGAAAAAAAGGTGAGAAAACAGGTGAGATGTCACCACTTCACCTAAAATATATTTTTGCCGAAAAAAATGGTTCATTTACTCACAATATTTTTGTACAAAACGACCCCAAACTTTTAACTTCTTTTCTGCAGCTTCTAATGCTATCTTAGCGAGTTCATATTCTCTAAATTCTCTCTTTAAATCTTCTTGTTCCCATTGGTCGAGTTCGTATGGCGAGTCTCTATAACCAGAACATATCTCACGTTCATGTTCTATTTGTTTTTCATGCATTTTTCTAACTTCTTCTTCGAACAAAGGTTTTGCATTCTCTACTGTATCTTCAAGTTCTTCTTCATCTAATTTCTCATGAACTTTCTTGTCTATGGAGTCCAAAATTTTTCCAACTGCTATACAATATTTTGGAGAAGCCCACATTGCTATATAGTTTACAAGTCTTGGGTCTACATACATTCCTCTAACCTGTTTGATTTCATCAGGAATTCCTGCATGAATTTTGTATAAAAAGCAACCCGCTGTTTTCCGCGGGTTGGTATATTCTTCACAAAATGCCTCAAAATACTCTTCCCAGGACTTATTTTTCCAACAACCTTCTAAAGTCTTTCCTAAACTGCTGACACATCTTTGTTGCATTTATATAACCATCCATGTCTCTACGTAAGACTTCAATACCGTTGTAAGTGCCTTTTGTGAATGTTTCGCCATTAGATTTGTTCGTGAACGTTTTTGCTTCGACTGACATTTCTGTTCTTACAATAAAAATAAAAAATATTTTTTGGTGGGACGTGGGACATTCGTTTGTGGCTTAACCGTCGGACCACAAACGATAAAAATCTCGACAAAACATATACGATGAAGAAGTCTCAACAAAACATTTACGATGAAGTCTTAACAAAAAATATACGATGAAATCTATTTCCTGTGTTGTTGTCAAAATGTCATGTTGTCACACTTTTTCAGAGAAGTTAAAATGACCGAGTGACCGAGTGACCTGGTCGCCTAAAATATATTTTTTTCTATCTTAAGGAAATTCATGAAAATTCACCTGTTGAACTTTGTATAAAAAGCAACCCGCTGTTTTCCGCGGGTTGGTATATTCTTCACAAAATGCTTGTTTTGAGGTCAAGCCACTTTTGGCTCCACCTCTTTTTTCAACCAAAATATATTTTTGTCGAATTCAGCACAAAATTCATGAGTTTTCTACGATGTTAGAAAACATGTTAGAAAACGTGTTAGATCTAACATGCTAACATAAACATTATTTTTCAATACTTTTTCAGCACTTTTCCGTAGTTATATATGAAAGACAATTCGAGATAAAAGTCATAGTACAATGGAATAATATGCTGCACACCGTTTGTTGTGAACCAAACTTGAAAGTCAGAGAAACTGTTACTGGGTGGTTCGTAGAATTTAGAAGCAAAGTCATAAAAGTCCTTACCAATACATAGAAAACTATTGTTGCTTGAACTGAAACTTGCATGACACATAACATTTTGAGGGTCAAACACGTTTCTATAAACTGTCAAATCTGCTGGTGGAAGTATAAATTTAAAAGGACCGTCAGGTGGTAATGGTTCGTTCTGGTTTAGTAACCGAAGAAATTGTGCCCAAGAACGTTTGTCTACTTGCCAAAATAAAAACTGTGTATCTCTTGGAGGGTTAATTTCAATCCTTTGAAATGAAACTGTGGAGTTCATCTTGTCATATTCTAGTTTCAGATAGTACGTTCCGTTTAGCAGAGAGTCGTATTTTTCTTGAAATTCCCAATAATATTTGTTTATTTGAGTTTGAAAGTCATTTAGAGTTTTCTCAAGACTTTCGTCTGAACGAACTGTAAAGATTCTCATTTCGTCAAATCTGTCTATTAGACCATCATCACCTTTATACTGACCGTGAAAATCTACTGCGAACATAAACGCGTTAGTTCTATTTGAAAACAAAACTCTTCTAAATCCTATTGCCTTTGCTTCTGAAGGACTTTGAAGCCAACGAACTGGAAAGTCAAACTTGTATGAACGGGATGAAATTTCTTCATCTGAAACAGTCCTACCGGCATTTGTAAAGATATAGTCTAACGGTTTTGTATCTGCTACTTTTGTTCTTTGTTTTTCAACCTGAAACATTTAATATATGTAAAAATATATTGTTTTAAAATGGTATGCCATTTCATATTTCTCATCTAACAAACATGTTGTCTGACTGCTTGACGGTTAGGTTGGTATCGTTCGAACTTGACACTTGCAATTCCTTCAATTGCATTCAAAATGTCTGAGTCGGAGTCAACCATTTGTTCTCTCTTTGTAGTCTTGAAAGCGTCAAGAAGTTTTGCGGCTGTTTGTTCATTGCCATGTGCATAGTAAATGTGACCATCCAAATCTGTTATGGTTAGTCTGAGATTGTGTCCTTTCTTATTTCCGTCTTGTATGGCAGCAAGTACTCCCATGAAGCCTTCTTTGTTCTTTCCTTCGTCAAAGTTTACTGTAAAGGTTCGACCAGATGTAATTTGACTTCTAACTTCACGATACTTTTCATATGCATATCTTGTTCTTTCCATGGGAGCATGTGTGTCTTCACCTTTTCCTTTTTTCCTTCTCAAAGGATGCAATTGTTCGTCATGTTTCCAGTAGAATCTGGCAAAGCCGTCGTGTCCTTCAACTTGAGGTTCACTAACATCGAAAGGCATGTCCATAAGACGTTCTTCTTCTAACCTCTCTAGTCTGTTTGGATAATTTGCACGTGCTGTTTCCAAATCCATTTCGTAGCGAAGACCAGACAATTTGTCATAGACTTTTATGGGTCTTCCCTTCCTATATTTAAAATTCTTCGAAACTCTCCAACCATATCTTTCTAACTCTGCTTTTATTCTAGCAGACCTTCTGTCCATTCTATATGGGGGCATTTTTATAAAAATAAAAAAATATATTTTTTTCTTTTACTTTACATAACCTCCTGCTACCAGAAGTCTTTGACGCCAACCCATACCAGCTAATGAAGGTTGACTTTTAGTATTGAAACTAAACTTTGGTTTTGGTTTATCTTCAGTTTTTGGCTCACCTTCTTCTATCGGTTTTTCGTCACTTTTCGGTTCCTCTGACTTTTCCCCACCTGCAGGAACAGTTGTGTCGTCAACATCTTCATAAATATCATATGCCATTTGTTTTTGTTTTCCTTTCAACTTTTTGTGTTTGTTGTAAAGTTTAGAATATTTCGACTCTAAGTCAATGAGATGTTCTATAATGAACTGTTGGTCAGTGAAGTATACTTTCCCATCTGTTGTCTCGAAAGCTCCTTCAGACTTCAATATTTTATTTGTGAGAGTCTGTTTCTTTTTTGAGATACTAGCCGTTCCATTTCTATGAAAAGTGACTTTATAGTTAGGGTTTGTATTTCCAGACCTGGCACTTTCTATTATTGAATTTTTCTCTTCATCTGTAAGTTCTTTGACAGGTTTTGACAATGGTTCTGAACTTTTTGTTTGTGGTGTCAAATCTACCGTTTCAACTTCTTCGGTCATTTCATCTCAGTAAAAAATTTTAGTTTGGTTTGTTTTCAACTGGTTGTTGTTGTTTTTTAAGTCGGTCTAAAACTTCCTGAGGTATAGGAAGAACTTGACAAACACGTGGTGTAACTGCTGGAAGTCGACAAATCCATCTTGAACCCATTTGTCTCAATGCTGTATTGTTCATTTCATCTCAGTAAAAAATTTACATTCCCCACGTTTGAGGCGGTTGAGGTTGGTTATTGTTTACCCACTGTTGTGCATGGTTATATCCTCTGTTAAAGAATCTTTCACCTTGGTCCATATAGTGTCCTGCTTGGTTATAGTAGTCATTTGCTTTGTTATAATAGTTTCCTGCTTGTCTTCCTACATTGTCCATCCATCCTTGAACTTTTCCTCTTGTTTCAGGATTTGGAATAAGATTTGTTGCATCTCGTGCTACATCCCAACCTTTCTGTACAGTTTGTATAATAGGTTGTGCTTTCTCTTTAAGTATACCTAATGTACTCAAAATCTTCCTTCCAACTCCAAATACACCTCTGGCTATTGTTCCAACTGCGGGCAAAAATCTGGATGCAACTCCTGCTAATGCGCCAAATAAACCCATTTCTTATGGGTTAAAAATGACGAATTCAAACAAGGACCCCTATGTTTCTAAGGCAACAAAGAAAGCACTCATGATAAAAATCTTTAGTTCAACACCAAATGCTTGGTTTATGGATATCTTGGAAAACATTCCGAGGTATAGAGAAGATGGACCACCATACTGGCTAATATTTGTCGGTCAAAACACAAGATACTGTGAAGCCATACCATTATGGTCCAAAAATATTTTAGATGTGAAAACTGCTTTGACAATATTCGTTGACAAATACCATCCAACAAAACTGACATCTGACTGTGAAAGTTCTTTCAAATCAGATGATATTAAAAACTATCTGCGTTCAAAAAATGTAAACCAATATTTCATTGTCGACCAAAACCATTCTGCTCTTGGTGTCATTGACAGTTGTATAAAAATCTTAAGAGACTTAAACCAACCACAAGGTGGTGAGGTAGATGAAATGTCATATGACGACAAATATAGACACTTCTCCATGGCAAAGATGAGACAAGTTTTAAATATTTTACAATAGCCGTAAACAAAAAGGTTTGGGAAACCACTCCCCCGAAGAAATGAAAAACAACCCTGACTTAGAGAAAGACTATATATTTAATAATTTAGTCAAAAGAGACAAACAAGAAAGAATGCCGGGCTTCAAACTTCAGAAAGGCGACAAAGTAAAAATAGAAATACCTAAACGCGACCCATATGAAAATACTATTGACTATGACAACAATGGGAACCCGACAGGTACTCACATTCGTGTTCGTAAAAATAGAAGAAAGTATACAAGGAATATTATGAAGTTTTAGGCAAACATGGCAAAATGTACAGACTGCAAGCAGAAGATAAAACGACTATTGTCAGACCTCGTTTCAAACTTGTCAAAGTTCAAGGTGGTATACTTTCAAAGACAGTTCCTAACAAATATAAGACAACTCCTGACGAATATGCTAAAGAAGTTGAAAATGACGACTAAGCATTTCTATACCATGCGTAAACTGTCATGTAAGGTGGCATGTAGTCTTTACTTTGTCCCGTTGTTTGCGTATATCCTGAAACGCGATGTGTATGGTTTCCATCTCCCTGAGTGTTACCCCAGAAACAATTTATAGCAAACTGAACGTTGTCTTTAACATCATATCCTTTACCTTTTTTCATTGCTGACCAATCCCAAAATTTATGCTTATGCCAACCTGCTTGAGATGTACTTAAATCTATGTAGTGACTGTGTGCAGGTAAATTTTCACCTGAAATCGTTTTACTTCCACCTGTTTCCTTTGAAGAGTTTGCACAATACAAAAACCTGTCGACTATTTGAGTCCAAGTTCCAAAACCAAGTACTACTTCTGGTCTGGTAGAGTTCATTGACGTATAAATAGAGCCTATAGGATATAATGTTTGAAGTATTTCTGTCTTTAATGTTTGAAGCTCTTTTTTGTCTGCTTTCTTGTCATATAAATCTTGAGCAGTGAATTTAATATTATGTTCATCCTTCATGACATAAACATCTTTACATCTAATGTTTCTCATCGTCGTTATGTCGTCATCCGATGTTAAACCTTGTGGAAAGTTAGGAGGTTTACAATATAATGCATCCCCACCAGTTTCTTCAACCGTTCCTTCAATACTTTCTATAGCAACAGTTGTAAAACTTGTATGTGTATGAGTCTTATTTGCTTTCTTCTCTAACTCATCGTTAACATAAGTTTTATCTGCTTTAAGGTCTAAACATCCTGAAACCCATCCTGTATCGGCTTTAGTTTTTTAAAAATCTTCGATGTCCGTTCATGGTACCAGTCAACCCTTTCTATAATTTCTTTATCTTTTTCATCCACATATTCCTTATCCGCCTTCTTCACTAACACACTAGCCATAAGTCCCTTATCTACCTTATTTTCAAGGCTAACGTTTAAGTCTGTTATTTCAGATATAGAATGTGTATGAGTCTTTTTAGAATATTCGTTTTCAGCTCTTGTCACTTCACTTGACATTTTATTGTCAACATATGTTTTGTCTGCTAGTTCAGGATGAGTATGTTCTTTTGTTGCATAAGCATTGTTAGCTCTTTCTTCTTCTTTTGCTATTGCATCGTCTACATATTCTTTGTCAGCTTTGTTGTCAATATCTGCTTTCAAAAGAAGTTCAGATATAGGTTTCTCGTTTAAAGTTCCTTTTGTTGGATTTATACAGACAGTATGGTTCTTATTGTCTTGAAACAGAAACTCATCTGTCATTGGGTTTAATGTCAGTTTTAAGTTTCCTTCTTTCAATGACTCAGATATCTTAGAATAGTTTGAAAAGTTTGTTGTGTTTTTATTTAGAGCTTGTATAATGAGTTGTCGGTTGTGTTGTATTTCTCTCATAGACGCTGTTTCATTTGACATTTTTATTCTAGATAAAATATGCTTCCAATAGAAAAAGAAAATTCAAGAGTTGCTACAACTAAACCATTAGATGAACTTTTTCTAATGTCGGTCAAAAGTTTGAGACAGAGACCGTAAAGCATGAAGGCTATCGTTTTGACTACCCATTAAGATGGCTAAGAGACCCATCTGTCACAAAAGCTATTGGCTTTCGTAGAATGAAGTTTGTGTCTGTAGAAGATAAAAGTTTTCCATTTATTGTAAGGTTTCATATAGATTATATATCTGAAGGGAAACGAAAAATGTGGGAAGAAATTGAGCTAATACAAGTTGACCTTTCATCTTCTCTACAGACTGCGTTAAAAATATAGAAGATAAAATAAATTCATGTTATGCAAAATATGCTGATGAATATGCAAATACCGAGAGCACACTTTATGTGAGAATTGTATATGACAAACAAAATTCACAAGTGTCATTTCAAATCTACGAAGACAATCCAAAGAAAGACGAACAAATATATACAGAATTCACTGCAATGTCATGGTATTATTTGCAAAGAATGTTAAATCAGAAAGTCGAACTTCCTTTAGCAAATATTTACAGTCGATATGCAAGAGATGAACCATATTTATTTAAAGATGTTTTCGACCCAGCTGCTATTATTGTTCATGCTTCATTTTCTGGCGCCCAAAACTCTTTCTTATGCTTGGCAAATGATTTTTACGAAAAACCTACAAAGTTATACGAACCACCAAGTGGAAGTATTTCAGACTTTCAAGTATGGTTTACTACAGATGGAAGAAAAAGAATAATTCCATTATACCATGCGTTTTACTTAGAACTTAGTTTCATATACAACTACTATCGAACGGTAAAAATATAATTTTTTAATACGGTTGAGGTGTTGGATTTGGTTGCCAACTAGACTGTGGTGCAGGTTCAGGCTGTTGTATAACAGGAGCTTGTTCTTC